AGTCACTAATTCTAACTGTCTCATGCCAGCGGCTCTGACAATGACAGAAGCACGAACCTGGTGACGACGCATGAAAGATCAATTTTACTGGGGAGAAACCATCAAGACGAATCTTATGTGAAGAAGAGTTCACCGACTTAATGAAATGCACTTTGCAATAGATACATCTCTGTAATTTACTATATAACATTTACCAAAGAGAAGAGGTCACAGTATTTTGGACTATTTTAATGTAGTACAGTGTCAACAATGTCCTCAAGTTTTATTTTTTCTTTGTATCACCGTATTACTCATATGTCTGTTTGCAGCTGTATTATTTTGAAGCAAACTGCCAAATCTTGGTAAGATCTGTTTCACAGTGAATGCATAGGTCCTACAAATGTAACTGATTGGCATCTTTAAATTAATATTATTTTTCACTATTTTTATACTCTATAAAAGTTATACAAGTGGACTGTGAACTCTGTGATGTTGAGGCTTAGAAACCTCATCACCCTGCCAACTAGACTCTTCTTTGTCTTCAGCATTTCCTTTAATTTTGTGATTGAATTGACTGATATTTTTTTTTCTTTCCCACTTTATAGATGACACAAAGATAAAATGTAGAAAATAAACTACATGTTTTTGTAAAACATGCTTTATAAATAGACTGACTCTGCTTTTGTCAAAGAATTCTTGATAGAAAAAATTGGTTTCAGTGATGGTTATTCAGAGTGACGCTTCCACATTGATGGATTGATGAAATGCTGTTTTTCCAATCTCATTTATTTAATATAACAATAAAGCTTTGTGAGGTGATGATGTAAGAATACCAGATTCACACTGAGGTCTAAAGTCATGAGGAAGTTGTTCATCAAGGCTGCAGATACATGCGGTTGACATCCAAATTGAGAACCGTCATAGTGAGGACGGTCTTTTCGGAGTTCAATTACAACATACAACAGGTGTTTTAATGTTGTAGCTCACCTGCTGTAAGTTTAATATGACACAGTTTGGTATTTTGATCAAAGGTAAATGTCTCATATCGAACAATCATATTTGCAGAGGTTGAATGTAACTCTTTATTCACTCAAGTACTCTGCATAAGTACAACATATATTGTTCTTAGATGGCCAAGACTGCATCTAAATTACACACAGATATGAAATATTGATCACTTTAATTTCACAAGTCAATTGTTAAGGTGTTTGTACGTTGACTCATTTTGTTAGCTATACTTCAACTTTATGTAGAGCAGCCAAATAATTTTTAGATTGCCTGTTTACTCGTCAGCTGTAGTTACTTTGCTGTTTAAGATGAAAGCTTATAAAGATGTTACAAGATATGATGCCTTTATTAAAAAGTCAAATTATTTCACATTGACCAGCTATTACAAAGATGTGGTTTACACATCATGGCCTCAGTAACACTGACGCACAGGCACACAAGTATTTTCATTTTCATACTTTACATTTTACTGGAAATAATTTCTGAAATTCTTCCACCCCTGCTTATACCTTGAATACAAAATTATTATTCACAAAACAGCTCGAAAAGACATCAGATAAATGTGGTAGTTTAAGAAAATAAGCTAATTTCTCTGTTAATTGAAGCCACCACAGATGTACAGTCATAACTGAAGACGGAAAAAAAAGCTATCCCACGTCACCTGTCGGAACTTCACGATGTGACACCCAGCGGAAGTAAACAGTGCGGTAGAAGTTAGCTGTATGGACGTGTGGAGTTAGCTTGAAGACGACGGTGTAGTCGTATCGCAGATAAATATTTCAGTGGTAACTAAGCAACAATCAATGTCTTCAGTTCAGTATCTGAGAGAGTTTGTCAACGAGCGACTAACTGCTGCTGCTGAAGAAATATTCGGAGTCTTTGAAAAAACTATCGTCGAGTACGAGGAAGAGATCGATCGTCAGCGCAGACTGCTGGATATCGTTTGGAAACCCGAAATAAAGCTACACAGGACAGGTCTGTGAAACCAGAATGGTCTGAATGAAAACTAACACAGGAGTTCATTTACCCAGAGATCCGATTTTGAAACATCATATTATTTACCGACATTAAATGTGTCCGTGTGTCCCTCCTGTTCCACTGTACAACCTCTCATCTACTGATTCTTAATACAGACCGCTGATGATTATGATGTGTTGATAGTGTTCAACATCTCGTCTCATCACTCCCATTTCACTGGTAGAGTGACTGACAATCATTATAATCTCTGTATTGATGCTATTTTAATGTCCCTTTGTCCCTCCAGAGCTCCCACAGCAACATGTCTGTAAGGAGGAGGAGGTTCTCACTGACCAGCAGCTCTGTGACCAGGAGAGGAACTCCAGTCTGGACCAGGAGGACCCAGAGCCTCCACAGATTAAAGAGGAAGAGGAGGAACTCTGCACCAGTCAGGAGGGAGAGCAGCTTGTAATGAAGCAGGAGACTGATACCTTTATGTTGACTCCTACTAATGAGGAAAGTGACCTCCAGCTCCTCTCTCACAACTCTCCTGTAGCTGAGAGCCAAGATCAGGAAGGAAGTAAGCATGTAGACCCAGAATCAACTAGAAATGGAGAGACGCAACCAAAGAAGAGACATCACAAAAACACAAGTCACAGTGACAACATATACAACTCCCCCACAACAAAGAGTCACTGTAACACTCAGACAGGTGAAAAGTCTATAAAATGTGACACTTGTGGAAAGGATTTTAAGTATAAATCCAAATTGAAAATACATCAGAGACGCCACACACGTGAGAGGCCATATTGCTGTAGCACTTGTGGGAAAAAATTCACTCAGACATCATCATTGAAAAATCATTTAAGAATCCACACCGATGAGAAGCCATATTCCTGTAGCACCTGTGGGAAAAAGTTCAGGTGGCCATCAATATTGAAAAATCACTTAAGAATTCACACAGGTGAGAAACCATATTTTTGTGAAACATGTGCGAAACGTTTCACTTTTCGTGCAGACTTGTTGGTCCACATCAGAACCCACACAGGTGAGAAGCCGTACACCTGCAACACCTGTGGGAAAAATTTTCGTCATAGGTCAGTTTTGAGTAAGCATACAAAAACACACACAGGTGAGAAGCCTTATTCTTGTGAAACATGTGGGAAAGATTTCAAAACGTCTTATGAATCCTTCATCCACATGAGAATCCACACAGGTGAGAAGCCGTACACCTGCAACATCTGTGGGAAAAATTTTCGTCATAGGTCAGTTCTGAGTGAGCATACAAAAACACACACAGGTGAGAAGCCTTATTCTTGTGAAACATGTGGGAAAGATTTCAAAACTTCTTATGAATCCTCCATCCACATGAGAACCCACACAGGTGAGAAGCTGTACACCTGCAACACGTGGTAAACACTTTAGTGACCAGTCAGACTTGAGTAAGCATAGAAGAACCCACACAGGTGAGAAGCCGGAACTCTGTCACATCTGTGGGGAAAGATTCAGTCAGAAGACGCACTTGGCAAAACATCTAATGATCCATACAAATATAAACTCATATACTCACTGAAGGTGTGGGAGAGCTTTCCAACTTAGTGGGGAATTGACAGTACACATGAGAACAGCCTTGGAAAAATGATCTTGGAAAAATCTTTGTGTTACAGTGACTGCACAGTGTCTATGAATGTAAATGACTGAACTCTTGAATACTATTAATTTTAATATTTTTATACTCTAACTACTATTGTCACTGTTGTGTCACTTATGTGGTCATCTTACCTACTAGTTCTTTTTGTCTAGTGGATGTGCCTTCATTTTATGTTTTTAATAATTTTGTGATTGAATCAGTTGGATGTAATTTGTATTTTCTCATCTTTTATAGGTGACATACAAACACAAGTTGTAGAAGATGAACTACATTGTTTTGTAAAACGTGCTATACAAATAAACTAACTTTTGTCAAATATTTCTGATAATGAAAATATTTCCTTCAATGCTGGTCATTCAGACTGATCTCACTTTGATGGATTGGATTCAATGATTAAGTGTCATCAGCCTAAGTGTTAGTACTGTATACATGCATCGATACTGAAAGGAACGTGGGAAACAAATGCTTCTTCACTGATCACATGTATTTATTCAAACAGCAAAGCTTTGCAGTGTGATAATGTAAGAATACCAGATTCAAGGACACTGTTCATCAAAGCTGCAGGTAGATGTGATGCAGCTGCACTGTCTCCCCTTCAGATGTCTGTCTTGAAGATCCTGCCTTATTTAGATGACCGGCTGATCTGTGCCCAAGTCGCGGTCAGGTTGTCCAAGACACAAGGTAGGTCATCAATCACATACAAGCCTCAGTGTTTAAGGTGAATATGAAGAAGAGCCATCTTTAACCCACACGGCACACTTTTCTCATTCTATGCTTGAATCCCTTCAGAATTTCAGCTTTCCTTACCCCTCAGAGGGTTATGGAAATTTAGACTTTGTTGGATCAGTTTTGTCTGGAGGGGTTTCTGGCAAGAGCCATGGGCAAGCTCACCTGGATACTCTTATAGACGGCAAGCCAAGCGTCTTGAAGTTAGTCACATGACTTTGTTGACAATAAGCCTCAAGAATATGTGTAAGGATGGCATCCTTCAAGGAGAAGATCATTGTGACAGTCATCATTTAGTGTCATTGATCAGTAGCTATAGCCATAATTTAATTTATTTTCAGAGTTCAATTAAAATATGCATCAGGTATTTTTATGTTGCATCTCATCAGCTGGGAGTGAAATTAAAGTATGTTATAACATTGTTTGCTAGTATGAACAAGTCCCACATTGAACATGCATATTTACAGAAGTGAAATGTAACTAAGTATATTTATTCAAGTATCCTACCTGAGTACAACATTGATTGTCCTTGGATGGCCAGACCTAATATAAATTATAGACATGAAATATTGAACACCTGAATTAAACAAATAAATTTTGAGGTTTTTGTACCTTGTTCACTTTATATTGTAATATATATACTTCTACATCTGTACATTTAACAGCCAAACATTATCCCTTTAGTCCACTACATTTACTGATTTACACTTTTACACACACAAGTTACAACTAACTTAAAAAAAAAATTATGCTTCTTTAAAAAATAACATGATTCCATCTCGATCATCATGGCCCCGTCAACACAGAGATATTGTACATGTACCTTTCATACGTTAAATTACATTGTACAGAAAGTAATTTCCTAACTTTTTCCAGCCCTGCTGATATGTTAGATACAAAATTAGTCTTTATCAAATTGCTTGAAAGGCCATCAGTTAGATGTGGTAGTACAGAGAAAATTTCCCTCTAAAATAGAGCGACACAGATGTACAATAACAACTGAAGGCAGAAATAAATCTAACTCACGTCCACTGCCGGAACTTAACAGTGTGACACCCAGCGGAAGTAAACAATGAAAGCGCGCAAGTAGCGTTGGCTCTAAGGATGTGTGGACTCAGCCCGAAGACAGTGGTGTAGTCGTATTACAGAATACTAACATCGAAAAACTATCGTCGAGTACGAGGAAGAGATCGATCGTCAGCGCAGACTGCTGGATATCGTTTGGAAACCCGAAATAAAGCTACACAGGACAGGTCTGTGAAACCAGAATGGTCTGAATGAAAACTAACACAGGGACGTGACTCATACTGGATCCTGATCAGAGCTCTACTCTTACATTTAGTTTTAGGGTCACATGAAAAAAAAACATTGAAAGATGAGATTTTTGGGCAGTAGTGCAGCAGAGACGCAGCAGTCTTTGTTGTTGTCGTGATTGGGAGCTGGTCAGGACCACTGTGAAATAACTTCCTTTAACTTGTAGTGTTTTTATCCTGTTTCCTGCTTCAGTTTTACACACAGCATTTTGTTTGCTTTGTGTGCTGCTTGTTGTTTTTTTTTCACTGCTTCTATTGTACTTGTGTATTTTCTTTTATTGAATATTTGTACACGGTTGGTATGTGTGAGTTGTCCTAGGATAAAATAAGACCAAAGTAAGATCTGACTTTTTCCATCATCACATTAGTAACCTATGTCTTGTGTCCTTTGTCCCTCCAGAGCTCCCACAGCAACATGTCTGTAAGGAGGAGGAGGTTCTCACTGACCAGTAGCTCTGTGACCAGGAGAGGAACTCCAGTGTTGGATATCATTTGGAAACCTGAAATAAAGCTACACAGGATAGGTCTGTAAAGCCAGAATGGTCTGAATGAAAACTAACACAGGAGCTTAGTTACTCAGAGATCTGGTTCTGTAAAATCACATTATCTACTGAGATTAAAGTATGTCAGAAAGTGTCATCCTGATCCTGTTATATACCACCGAGTCTTATCACTCCCATTTCCCTGGCAGTGACATGCATGATCAGAGAGTTTCTATTCTCTATACTGCTGCTATTTCTCACATCCCTTTTTCCCTCCAGAGCTCCCACAGCAACAGGTCTGTAAGGAGGAGGAGGTTCTCACTGACCAGCAGCTCTGTGAAAAGCCATATATTTGTGAAACATGTGGGAAAGGTTTCAGAACTTCTTATGAATCCTTGGTCCATATGAGAACCCATACAAGTGAGAAGCTGTATACCTGCAACACTTGTGGGAAGACATTTAGTAACAACTATGACTTGACAAAGCATACAAGAATCCACACAGGTGAAAAGCCATATTTTTGTGAAGCATGTGGGAAAAGTTTCCGGACTTCTTACGAATCCTTGGTCCATATGACAACCCACACAGGTGAGAAGCCGTACACCTGCCACACCTGTGGGAAAAAATATTATTACCAGTCAGCCTTGAGTAAGCATACAAGAACCCACACAGGTGAAAAGCCTTACACCTGCAACACCTGTGGGAAAAAATTTAGTAACAAGTCAGACTTGATTAAGCATACAAGAACCCACACAGGCGAGAAGCCACATTCTTGTGAAACATGTAGGAAAAGATTTGCCACTCGAAAAAACTTGTTGGTCCACATGAGAATCCACACAGGTGAAAAGCCGTATTCTTGTAAAATTTGTGGGAAAAATTTCAGAACTTCTTATGAATCCTTGGTCCATATGAGAACCCACACAGGTGAGAAACCGTACACCTGCAACACATCAGGCTTGAGTGTGCATACAAAAACCCACACAGATGAAATGCAGAACACTTGCAACACCTGTGGGAAAAAATGTAGCGACCAGTCAGCCTTGCGTAAACATAGAAGAACCCACACAGGTGAGAAGCCATACACCTGCAATACATGGGAAAAAATTTAGTTACAAGTCAGACTTGAGTAAGCATAGAAGAACCCGCAAAGGTGAGAAGCTGTACCTCTGTCACATCTGTGGGGAAAGATTCAGTCAGAAGACGCACTTGGCAAAACATCTAATGATCCATACAAATAAAAGATCATATACTTACTGAAGGTGTGGGAGAGCTTTCAGACTTAGTGGGGAATTGACAGTACACATGAGAGGAACCTTGGAAAAATCTTTGTGTTACAGTGACGACACAGTGTCTAAGAATGTAAATGACTGAACTCTTGAATACTATTAATTTTGATATTTTCATATTCTACCACAGTTATATGAGTGGATCTTAAGTGTGTAATGTCAAAGGTGAGAAACCTTCAAAGGCTGTCGTGTCACTTATGTGGTCATCTTACCTACTAGTTCTTTTTGTCTAGTGGATGTGCCTTCATTTTATAGTTTTAATAATTACATGATTGAATCAGTTGGATGTAATTTGTATTTTTCTCATGTTCTAGAGGTGATGCACAAACAAGTTGTAGAAGATGAACTGCATTGTTTTCTGAAGGGTGTTATATAAATAAACTGACTTGTCAAAGAATTTCAATAATGAAAATTATTAACACTGATCTCACATTGATTGATTGGATTAAATGACTGCAAGTGTCGTCAGCCTAAATGGTAATACTGCATACATAGATCAATGCTAAAAGGAACATGGGCAACAAATGCTTTGTCGCTGATCTTGTGTATTTATTCTAACAGTAAAGCTTTTTTAGGGTGATAATGTTATCATAAATACAATAATGTCACAATATACAATGTTATAAAAATAATACAAAATCATAAAATATGATTCCGTATTAAAAAATGTTATGATTCCACCTTGATCATCATGGCCCCAGCAACACAGATTGGGGTCATTTTAAATGAGTACTTTCACCTTTCATACCTTAAATTCATTTTATGGAAAGTAATTTCATAATTTCTTCCAGCCCTGCTGATATGTTAAATACTAAGTTAATGTTTTCTAAATGGCTTAAGAAGACATCAGTTAAATGTGGTAGTACAGAGAAAATAAAACTAATATCACTATCTTATGAAGCGACACAGATGTACAATCGTAACTGAAGACAGAAATAAAAGCTAGCTCACGTCCCCTGCCGGAACTTCACAGTGTGACACCCAGCGGAAGTAAACAATGAAAGTACGCTCGTAGCGTTAGCTCTATAGATGTGTGTAGTTAGCTTGAAGGCGACGGTGTAGTCGTATCGCAGATAAATATTTCAGTGGTAACTAAGCAACAATGTCTTCAGTTCAGTATCTGAGAGAGTTTGTCAACGAGCGACTAACTGCTGCTGCTGAAGAAATATTCGGAGTCTTTGAACAAACTATCGTCGAGTACGAGGAAGAGATCGAAGCGTAGACAGATGGATATCGTTTGGAAACCCGTTATAAAGCTACACAGGACAGGTCTGTGAAACCAGAATGGTCTGAATGAAAACTAACACAGGAGTTTATTTACTCAGAGATCTGGTTTTGTAACATCACGTTATTTACCGAGATTAAATGTGTCTGATCGTGTGTTCCCCTCTCATGTACCACTTCTCATCTGCACATAATCATTCTTATTAATTCAGGCCACTGCTGCTTATGATGTGTTGATAGTGGTCAACTAAACATCTTATCACCCCCATTTCACTGGTAGAGTGACTCACACAATCAGACACTTTTTAATTTCTATGTTGCTGCTATTTCTCATGTCCATTTGTCCCTCCAGAGCTCCCACAGCAACATGTCTGTAAGGAGGAGGAGGTTCTCACTGACCAGCACCTCTGTGACCAGGAGAGGAACTCCAGTCTGGACCAGGAGGACCCAGAGCCTCCACAGATTAAAGAGGAAGAGGAGGAACTCTGCACCAGTCAGGAGGGAGAGCAGCTTGTACTGAAGCAGGAGACTGATACCTTTATGTTGACTCCTACTAATGAGGAAAGTGACCACCAGCTCCTCTCTCACAACTCTAACTGTAACACCCAGACAGGTAAAAAGTCTGTAAAATGTCACACTTGTGGATCATATTTTAAGTATAAGTGCTACTAACCTTTTTCCAACAGCATCTTCACTTTCTCATCACTGTTCACAGACACACAGGTAGATAGATATCAGTGAAAATGGTGAATCTGCGAACAGCAACATCTGGAGCACAGGAAGTGGCATATGTAAACAAAGATCACTAGTTCATGTTATAAGAAAAACATGTATGGATAAACACAGCTCACTGGTGAGTCGTAGCCAGAACTGTGTGTAGTTATAAACAGGGAAAGAAGGGAGGGAATAAAAAATGTAAAATCAAAAGTCCCAAACCCATAATTGTTTGAAATGTGTTTTGGCATTGGCAAGGTAACATGATATGTCACAAAGTGTCATCCCATTCATATTTGTACTATTTGGGATTTATACATTGTTATCAGGTCTTGGACGACCGACTTTTGTTTGGTTGGTTTGTTACAAGAGAAAAACAATCAATCAACCTCCACAGGAAGTGGTGACGGTGAGTCATGGAGAGACATTGATCACACACCTGATTCCTGTGGTTATTAGCTTCTTTGGTTCAGTTAACTGGTCATATTTTCTAATAAAATAATAAACAGGACACGGAGAGAAAGTGTAGTAAACAGCAGCAACTACTTGTTTATTTTTTCTAAAACACGTGTGACTTGGGGTGTTGAGTGGCGCAGTTGGTTGAACAGGCGCCCCCTATGCAGAGGCTAAGGTCCTCGCTGCAGTCGGCCCCGGTTTGAATCCTGCATCGGACAGCCCTTTACTGCATGTCATTCCCCTCTCTCTGCCTCCCCATTTCCTGTCTCTCTCTACTGTACCATCAATAAAGGCATAAAAAGCCCAAAAAAAAAAAACACGTGTGACTTGACACACACCATCTGTGCAATATATCTCTTCTTTGCTGCTATTCAGCCATTTTTTTCTAAATATCTAATTGTACATATTATTTTATTGTCTGTTATTTATATTTTACATATTTGTTACTGACATATTGCAGTTTTTCTTTCTTGTCCTGTCCACTTTGCTGCTGTAATACTGCAAATTTCGCCACTGTAAATGAAACGTGATATTGATTGTATGGTGGTATGCTGGTTTCCACATAATGTAAACACTGTGGGTGTGTGGTCAGGCACAATTATACACCAGGAGAAGTAGAAGTCGAATCTATCCAATTCTGATTTATTGTAGTCTTTCAGGATTAAATGTGCAGGTAGATGGATGACAATTGATGTTGGTTTTACATATTGCACTCAAACAATCAACTGTAGCTTAGGGGACATTCTACCTCCAATCCCAAACCAAAAGTAAACACAGGACCATCTATGAGAATAAATACATACCGATATGTCAGGCATAAAATCCACAGTGTGGGATCATTTCAGAAAGGTAAATGTTGATCCCAAGAAGGTGACAAGCAAATATTCACATGTTGACCACAAACACATTGAAGTAGCCTAACGTTAGTTACTTATCATGGCCGCTCACTCTAACACCTTTCTGGGTTTTCCAACAGATTTAAAACCATTACCGCTTTTGCCTGTATCGTTAACATAGATTTCAAACTAATTGATGGTATCTATAGATTTCAGAGGAGAATTCGAAACATATGATGATTTTTTTGTAAATTGTGTATTTTCGTAAGTCTGCTGAAATCAAATCTCTCTCAGCTCTTCAAGACTGATAACAGAACATATTTATGTATAGGGCATTTTTACTTGTGTATACATGTGGAAATGGGCAGTAGTGTAACATAGGCACAGGAGTCTTCGTTGTTATGATTCAGAGAAGGCCACTGCAGGAATAATATTTATCTTTTAGTGTTTTTATCTTGTTTCCTGCTTCAGTTTTAAACACATCCCTTTGTTTGCTTTGTGTGCTGCTTGTTTCTTGTTTTTTCTATTGTACGTTTAGTGCATTGTTTTGTTTTGTTTTTTTCCATTTTTGAAGTGTGTTCTGTGTGAGTTGTCTTATGACCAAACCAAGATCTGTAGATTAGTAACCTATTTCTCATGTCGCTTTGTCCCTCCAGAGCTCCCACAGCAACATGTCTGTAAGGAGGAGGAGGTTCTCACTGACCAGCAGCTCTGTAAACAGGAGGGAAACTCCAGTTTGGACCAGGAGGACCCAGAGCCTCCACAGATTAAAGAGGAAGAGGAGGAACTCTGCACCAGTCAGGAGGGAGAGCAGCTTGTACTGAAGCAGGAGACTGATACCTTTATGTTGACTCCTACTAATGAGGAACGTTACGGAAGTGAACCAGAACAAAACAGTGACCACCAGCTCCTCTCCCACAACTTTCCTGTGGCTGACAGTCAAGATCAGAAAGAAAGCAAGGATGTAGACCCAGGATCAAAGACCCACTGTAACACTCAGACAGGAAAAAAGTCTTTAACATGTGACACTTGTGAAAAGGTTTTTAAGAATAAGTCCAAATTGAAAATACATCGGAGACACCACACGGGTGAGAAGCCATATTCATGTAAAATATGTGGGAAAGCTTTCAGATATAACAGTATGAAACTCCACATGAGGACTCACACAGGCGAGAAGCCGTATTCTTGTAACACCTGTGGGGAAAAATTCAGTCGTGCATCAACATTGAAAAATCATTTAAGAATTCACACAGGTGAGAAGCCATATTTTTGTGAAACATGTGGGAAACGTTTCAGAACAAGTACAGGCCTTTTGATCCACATGAGAACCCACACAGGGGAGAAGCCGTACACCTGCAACATCTGTGGGAAAAAATTTAGTGACAACTCAGCCTTCAGTAAGCATACAAGAACCCACACAGGTGAGAAGCCATATTCGTGTAGCACCTGTGGAGAAAAATTCAGTAATAGACCAATATTGAAAAGTCATTTAAGAACTCACACAGATGAGAAGCCATATTTTTGCGAAACATGTGGGAAATGTCTCAGATCAAGTAAAGGCCTGTTGATTCACATGAGAACCCACACCGGTGAGAAGCCATACACCTGCAACACCTGTGGGAAAAAATTTAATAACCAGTCAGCCTTGACTAAACATACAAGAACCCACATAGATCAGAAGCCGTATTTTTGCGAAACGTGTGGCAAAGGTTTCAGTACTAGTTCCATCCTGTTGGTTCACATGAGAATCCACACAGGTGAGAAGCCGTATTCTTGTGAAACATGTGGGAAAGGTTTCACTACTCGTACACGCTTATTGGTCCATATGAGAATTCACACAGGTGAGAAGCCTTATTCTTGTGAAACATGTGGGAAAGGTTTCAGTACTAGCACTCGCTTGTTGGTCCACATGAGAACCCACACAGGTGAGAAGCCATACCCCTGTCACATCTGTGGGAAAAGGTTCAGTCAGAAGACAAACTTGGCAAGACATGTAATAATCCATACAAACACAAAGTCATATAATTCCTGAACATGTGAGAGAACTTTCAGACTTAATGGGGAATTGACGGTCCACATGAGAAGAGTCTTGAAAAATGATCTTTGAAAAATCTTTGTATTAAAGTGAGTGCATAGTTTTTAACATGTAAGCATGTAAAAGACTGAAATTCTTGATTAATGATTTTAGTATTTTTATGCTCTATCACAGTTATATATATGGATCTTAAGTCTGTAATGTTGAAGGTGAGAACCCTTCAAATGCTGTTGTGTCACTCATGTGGTCATCTTACCATAAAGAGTCTTTGTCCAGAACATGTCCTTTCATTTTATAGTTTTGATAATTTTGTGGTGATGCACAAACACAAGTTGTAGAAGATGAACTACATTGTTTTGTAAAAGGTGCTATACAAATAAACTGACTTTTGTCAAAGAATTTCAACTATGAAAATGTTCCAGGCAAGAACTAGAGGCAAGTTCACCTGGATGCTCTTAGATGGCAAGCCAAGTCTCTTGAGGTTAGTCACAGGAGTTTGTTGCCATAATTTCTCAAGGATACGTGTAAGGATGGCATCCTTCAGGGTGAAGATCACTGTGACAGTCATCATTTGGTCTCATAGAGCCGTACCTTAAGCTTTTTCTTCAGAATTCATTACAATATGCAACAGCTGTTTTAATATTGCAGGTCACCAGCTGGGGGTGAAGTTAAAATATGTTATAATATGATTTGGTAGTTTTATCAATGAACATGTCTCATATTGAACATGCATTTTTACACAGGCATCATGTATCTTACCTGAGTACGACATTGACTTTCCTCAGATTGCCATGACTGCATATAAATGATACACATGAAGTAATGAACACCTAAAGTCAAGGTTCTGTAAACGGTCGTCACTGCCACTAGATGTCGCACTAGACTACTAGCATCTCAGACCAGAACAAATGCTTCTTCAGACACGCCCTTGGCCTCCGTTTAGCCCCTTAAACCCTCGCCGTCACGTTGTATACTACACATTCTACTAGAAGATATTTCACTGTGCCGTTTCACCTGTGGGTAGTGCCTATATGTTTATAAACGTTGAGAGGACCAACAGTTTAACAGGAGAGACTCCAGTGCCAGACCCTAACACCTAAGTTCACTAATATGTATGTGCTCTGAGACCGGAAACCAAGACATGGAGCAAAGAAACTCCGATTACTACACACAGAGAGGGGATGCGGCTTCTTTCTCTAGTCAGGACGCCGTTACTCCACTACATCTTTACATAGAAAGTTGTTGTTTACTGCTGTATTATTCTTTGAAATCTAATTTACAAAACATTTCAACAAGTAAGTTCTGAGGTTTTTGTATTTTGAGTCACTTTATTTTCTTATTATTTCCACTTTCCTACATTTTACCACCAAATGTTTTATCTTTAGACCACTACATTTACTATACTGGAAAACTGCAGTTACTTTGGTGAATATATTTTCACACATAACAACTTAGAATGAATGTGGAAGTACAGAGAAAATGACATAATTTCCCTCTGAAATGAAGCAGCGCAGATGTACAATAATAACTGAAGGCGAAAATAAATCGAACTCACGTCCACTGCCGGAACTTAACAGTGTGACACCCAGCGGAAGTAAACAATGAAAGCGCGCGAGTGGTGTTAGCTCTAAGGATGTGTGGACTCAGCCTGAAGACAGTGGTGTAGTCGTATTACAGAATACTAACATCGAAAAACTATCGTCGAGTACGAGGAAGAGATCGATCATCAGCGCAGACTGCTGGATATCGTTTGGAAACCGGAAATAAAGCTACACAGGACAGGTCTGTGAAACCAGAATGGTCTGAATGAAAACTAACACGGATCAGAGCTCTACGCTTACTTTTACTTTTAGGGTCATTGCTGCCACGAAGAAACAACGTTGGGGCAGTTTATTATCTTATTTTTAATGAGTAAACATTCAACATCAAACGTACAGGTTGTATAAGACACAGGGGAAACTGACTGAACTAAAAGATTATAGAAGAATTGTGAAACAAAGACCAAACAAACGAAATGAATGCATCGTGCTTTGATGCGTCTCTTTTCAAACAGCCTTCAGTCAATGGCTGCCCGGTAATAATCCACCAAACCCTATTCGATGACATAGATATGTGATTTTGGGCAGTAGTGCAGCAGAGACGCAGCAGTCTTTGTTGTTGTCGTGATTGGGAGCTGGTCAGGACCACTGTGAAATAACTTCCTTTAACTTGTAGTGTTTTTATCCTGTTTCCTGCTTCAGTTTTACACACAGCACTTTGTTTGCTTTGTGTGCTGCTTGTGGTTTGTTTTGCACTGCCTCTTCTACTTTTTGTGTATTTTATACACCCTTTACTTGTTCTTTAATTCAATATTTGGAAAAGTGTGTTGTGTGTGTCATGTCTTAGGATAAAATAAGACCAAACCTAGATCTGAGTTTTTAAGTCATCACATTAGTCTTGTGTCCTTTGTCCCTCCAGAGCTCCAACAGCAACATGTCTGTAAGGAGGAGGAGGTTCTCACTGACCAGCAGCTCTGTGACCCGGAGAGGAACTCCAGTGTTGGTCATCTTTCTGAAACCCGAAATAAAGCTACACAGGATAGGTCTGTAAAACCAGACTGGTCTTAATTAAAACTAACACAGGAGCTTAGTTACTCGGAGATCTGGTTCTGTAAAATCACATTATCTACTGAGATTAAAGTATGTCAGAAAGTGTCATCCTGATCCTGTTATATACCACCGAGTCTTATCACTCCCATTTCCCTGGCAGTGACATGCATGATCAGAGTTTCTAATCTCTATACTGCTGCTATTTGTCATGTCCCTTTGTCCCTCCAGAGCTCCCACAGCAACATGTCTGTAAGGAGGAGGAGGTTCTCACTGACCAGCAGCTCTGTGACCAGGAGAGGAACTCCAGTCTGGACCAGGAGGACCCAGAGCCTCCACAGATTAAAGAGGAAGAGAAGAAACTCTGCACCAGTCAGGAGGGAGAGCAGCTTGTACTGAAGCAGGAGACTGATACCTTGATGTTGACTCCTACTAATGAGGAAAGTGACCACCAGGTCCTCTCTCACAACTCTAACTGTAAAACTGAGACAGGTAAAAAGTCTTTAAAATGTCACATTTGTGGACAAGATTTCAAGTATAAGTGCTACTGACCTTTTTCCAACAGCATCTTCACTATCTCCTCACTTTTCACAGACACACTGGTAAGTATCAGTGAAAATGGCGAATCTGTGAACAACAACATCTGGAGCACAGGAAGTGGAATATGTAAACAAAGATCACTGGTTCACGTTATAAGAAAAACATGTATGGATAAACACAGCTCACTGGTGATTTGCAGTCAGAACTGTTTGCAGTTTTTTTTTTGCCAACAGGGAACGAAGTGTTGTCTTCTTCATATTTATACTATATTTGAGCCTTTTCAGCCTTTTCCACTCAGTCACTTACCAGAACATGTCAGTTAAGTCTGAGGGTTCAGAGCTCAGGCCTTAGGGGGGACTTTGGTAACGGACAGACAGACATCAATTACATGGCTGTTCCTGTAGTTATTAGCTTGTTGGGTTCAACTAACTGGGCATATTTAGTAATAAAATAATAAACAGGACAAGTGACAGGGATATGCGTTTTGACATAGTAAGAGGAGATTTTGCAGCAGTAGTGTAGCAGAGACGCAGCAGTCTTTGTTGTTGTCATGACTGGGAGCAGGTCAGGACCACTGTGTGTATAACTTCTTTTAACGTTTAGTGTTGTTATCCTGTTTCCTGATTCCGTCTTACACAAAGCACTTTGTTTGCTTTGTGTGCTGCTTGTCTTTTCTTTTCCACTGTCTCTATTGTATTTTTTATGGATTTTATACTTTATTTATTCAGTCTTTTATTGAATATTTGGACATTTGTTATGTGTGAGTCGTTTAAGGACAAAATAAGACCAAACCAAGATCTGAGTTTTTCCATCATCACATTAGTTACCTATTTCTCTTTTTTTCATTTTTTAAAATATTTTTGCCTTTATTTTCATAGTAGAGTGAAAGATAGACAGGAAAGTCAGGGAGAGAGAGGTGGGATGACATGCAGCAAAGGCCCAGGGTCAGACTCCAATCCATGGCCACTGCAGTAAGGACTAAGCCTATGTGGTACGCGCTCTACCAGATGAGCCACCGAGATGCCCCAGTAACCGATTTCTCATGTCCCTTCGTCCCTCCAGAGCTCCGACAGCAACATGTCTGTAAGGAGGAAGAGATTCTCACAGACCAGCAGCTATGTAAACAGGAGGATCCAGAGCCTCCACAGATTAAAGAGGAAAAGGAGGAACTCTGTACCAGTCAGGAGGAAGAGCAGCTTGTACTGAAGAAAGGGAATGATACCTTTATATTGACTCCTACTAATGAGGAAAATGACCGAAGTGAACCAGAAGCAAACAGTGACCAACAGCTCCTCTCTCACAACACTCCTGTAGCTAAGAAACAAGATCAGAAAAGAAGGAAGCATGTAGACCCAGGATCAAAGAGTCGTAAAACTCGGAAAGGTAAAAACTCTTTCAAATGTCACACTTGTGGAGCAGTTTTTAAAAATAACTACAATTTGAAAGTACATCAAAGATGCCACACAGGTGAGAAGCCATATTCTTGTAGCACCTGTGGGAAAAAATTCACTCGGACATCAACATTGAAAGATCATTTAAAAACTCACACAGGTGAGAAGCCATATTCTTGTGACACCTGTGGGAGAAAATTTAGTCGGACATCAAGATTGAAAGATCATTTAAGAAGTCACACAGGTGAGAATTTATATTTTTGTAAAACATGTGGAAAATGTCTAAGATCAAGCTCAGGCCTGGTGGTCCACATGAGAACCCACACAGGGGAGAAGCCGTACACCTGCAACACCTGTGGGAAAAAATTTAGTATCAAGGCTGACTTGACTAAACATACAAGAACCCACACAGATGAGAAGCCATATTCTTGTGAAGAATGTGGGAAAGGTTTCACTACTCGTTCAATCTTGTTGGTTCACATGAGAATCCACACAGGTGAGAAACCTTATTTTTGTGCAACATGTGGGAAAGGTTTCAGAACTTGTTCTGCATCATTGGTCCACATGAGAAACCACACAAGTGAAAGCCCGTACACCTGTAACACCTGTGGAAAAAAATTCAGTAACAAGTCTGACTTCAGTAGGCATACAAGAATCCACACAGGTGAGAGGCCATATTCTTGTAGCACCTGTGGGAAAAAATTCACTCGGACATCAACATTGAATGATCATTTAAAAAATCACACAGGTGAGAAGCCATATTCTTGTGGCACCTGTGGGAAAAAATTTAATCGGCCATCGAAATTGAAAGATCATTTAAGGAGTCACACAGTTGAGAATTCGTGATTTTGTGAAACGTGGAAAAAGTCTCAGATCAAGCTCAGGACTGTTAATTCACACGAGAACCCACACAGGTGAGAAGCCGTACCCCTGTCACATCTGTGGGAAAAGGTTCATTCAGAACTCAAACTTGGCAAGACATGTAAGAATCCATACAAACACAGTCATAATTCATGAACATGTGGGGGAATTATCAGACTTAATGGGGAATTGACGGTCCACATGAGAAGAGCCTTGAAAAATGATCTTTGAAAAAACTTTGTTTTATAGTGAGTGCATAGTTTCTAAGATGTAAGCATGTAAACGACTGAAATTCTTGATTATTAATTTTTTTTTCAATGCTCTACCACAGTCGTGTGGATCTCTGTAAGTCTGTAACGTCAAAGGTGAGAACCCCTCAAATGCTGTTGTCGTTTATGTGGTCATCTTACCATCAAGTCTCTGTCTAGAGCATGTCCTTTCTTTTTGTAATTTTGATAATTTTGTGATTTAATCAGTTTGATGTAATTTGTGTTTAAGAGGTGATGCATAAACACAAGTTGTAGAAGATGAACTACATTGGAAGAGAGAGATCTCCAATCCATGGCCATGCAGTAAGGACTAAGCCTATGTGGTACGCGCTCTACAGATGAGCCACCGAGATGCCCGTACAACGATTTCTCATGTCCCTTCGTCCCTCCAGAGCTCCGACAGCAACATGTCTGTAAGGAGGAAAGAGATTCTCACAGACCAGCAGCTATGTAAACAGGAGGATCCAGAGCCTCCACAGCATTAAAGAGGAAAAGGAGGAACTCTTGTACCAGTCAGGAGGAAGAGCAGCTTGTACTGAAGAAAGGGAATGATACCTTTATATTGACTCCACTAATGAGGAAATGACCGAAGTGAACCAGAAGCAAACAGTGACCAACAGCTCCTCTCTCACAACACTCCTGTAGCTAAGAACAAGATCAGAAAAGAAGGAAGCATGTAGACCCAGGATCAAAGAGTCGTAAAAACTCGGAAAGGTAAAAACTCTTTCAATTGTCACACTTGTGGAGCAGTTTTTAAAAATAATACATTTGAAAGTACATCAAAGATGCCACACAGGTGAGAAGCCATATTCTTGTAGCACCTGTGGGAAAAAATTCACTCGGACATCAACATTGAAAGATCATTTAAAAACTCACACAGGTGAGAAGCCATATTCTTGTGACACCTGTGGGAGAAAATTTAGTCGGATCATCACAGATTGAAAGATCATTTAAGAAGTCACACAGTGAGAATTTAATTTTTGTAAAACATGTGGAAAAGTTATCTAAGATCAAGCTCAGCCTGGTGGTCCACATGAGAATCACACAGGGAGGAAGCCGTACACCTGCAACACCTGTGGGAAAAAATTTAGTATCAAGGCTGACTTGACAAAAATACAAGAAACCCACAAGATGAGAAGCCATATTCTTGTGAAGATGTGGGAAAGGTTTCACTATCTGTTCCAAGCTTGTTGGTTCAATGAGAATCCACACAGGTGAGAAACCATTTTTTTGTGCAACATGTGGGAAAGGTTTCAGAACTTTTCTGCTCATTGGTCCACATGAGAAACCACACAAGTGAAAGCCCGTACACCTGTAACACCTGTGGAAAAAAATTCATAACAAGTTCTGATTCAGTAGGCATAAAAGAATCCACACAGTGAGAGGCCATATTCTTTGTAGCACCTGTGGGAAAAAATTCACTCGGACATCAACATTGAATGACATTTAAAAAATCACACAGGTGAGAAGCCATATTCTTGTGGCACCTGTGGGAAAAATTTAATCGGCCATCGAAATTGAAAGATCATTTAAGGAGTCACACAGTTGAGAATTCGTGATTTTGTGAAACGTGGAAAAAGTCTCAGATCAAGCTCAGGACTGTTAATTCACAGAGAACCCACACAGGTGAGAAGCCGTACCCCTGTCACATCTGTGGGAAAAGGTTCATTCAGAACTCAAACTTGGCAAGACATGTAAGAATCCATACAAACACAGTCATAATTCATAACATGTGGGGGAATTATCAGACTTAATGGGGATTGACGTCGCCACATGAAGAAGAGCCTTGAAAAATGATCTTTGAAAAAACTTTGTTTTATAGTGACGTGCATAGTTTCTAAGATGTAAGCATGTAAACGACTGAAATTCTTGATTATTAATTTTTTTTTCAATGCTTCTACCACAGTCGTGTGGATGCTGCGTGTTTT